TTGGATTTATGATAACTGGATTTCTGCTGATCAGAGGAGGCGGAGTCCGGATTTATCGAAAAGTGAAGCGACCCCAACAGTGGTTCAGAAGCTGTTGGGCGCGTTGGAAAGCTTGTGCCAGGCTGGAAAGCCCACAGACTCAGTTGCTGGGGGAGATAAACCTCAAGCTGGATGTGGTTCTGACGAGGATCACAGCTCAGGAGCGAGTCTCTGGCATGTAGGATTACATCTGGGTGAAGCTTCAGTCGGTGAAGAGGCGAGAGACCCCGAAATTCAGCTGATTGAAGTTTTTTTCGACACTTCAGAGATGCAGTTAAGACATTAAAAACAGCAGAAAACTTCAAGGCTGTTTTGTCCCAAACAATTGTGTTTATCTATTCGGCTCCCAGTGCCTTGGCCTTGATTGCCATGCTTATCTAATACTCCCCAGGATGGAATGTCAAAGGCCTGATTCCCTCCCACCCCATCACCCCATCCGTGTTGGTGCTGGCCATGAACCCAAGGCCAAGGAGAGGGAACTCTTGACTCTGGCGAGCTAAATAACATCATGTGACTCTGGACTCTGGGGGGCTATGGTCGGTTCTAGAACGGAGAACCCATGTCCCTCATCGACTCCACTGGTTCCTGGCCCCATTTCATGTGTTCTGACCTAAGCTCCCTCCCTGCCCAGGCTGTCTGCTTCTGTCACGAGTGGTTTTTGTGCATATGATTTTATGTTTCTGTGTAAATATAAGATCAAACCAATTTTTTAAACTCATCTCTCCTATTGTGTATTTCCAAGCTGCAGAAAGTGATCTTAACCACAATTCTGTTCCACATTGCATCGCTGATGTTATGTTTGAATGACAAAGTTGATTCTGATTTAAAAAAAAAAGCTTGTGAGGTTCCTGTGAACTAACCAACCAACAGCTATTTGGTCACTAGTTAAAACAGTCCATTATAGTGACACCTGCCTAAAATAATTGCGTAACTCAGTTTTGCCAACTAAAACCATGGGAGATTATTTTATCGACGATAATAGTCGTCTTCAACCCAATGCTACCCGTTTGTTTTTCATGGGAGCTACTGAGAGAAGCTAGCGTATCAAGATAGTCATAGCTAGTCATCTTGTGTGAGCTTGATTCATGCAGTTTTTCTCTTGAGAAGTATTCCACCTGTTTTATCACCTGTTTTCACTACAAGACACTTGCTTAATTTTTCTCTCAGTCATATTCAAAGAAATCTCAAAGTGGACGTTGTCGCTTTCTCCCAACTTTTGTTGTCTCATTTGGCAGACGATGCTGAGCAGCAGCAGACTGTAAACAAGTGTTGTTATAAACCATGAGGTGTTGTAAGCTGCCCACAGCTAATGTGAAACTACAAATTACGATTTGTTTAAACAGTCCACACAGCTCAAAATAAATTGACAAACACTAAAACTAAGAATATTCTATCTTTAATTTCAGTTAGTTTTGTAAAAAGAATATAAAGTTTTAGTTAGTTATTGTTTTCTCATTTTATTACAGTTTTTCTTTATTTCAGTTAATTAAAATGTTTTTTTCAATTTCAGTTTTTCGTTAGTTTTAATTAACTATAATAACCCTGCATCCTGGTTTCATTTCCTGCTCGTGATCAGAGTGTAACATATAACCAGATGTGGTCGACACAAGCTGTAACTTACTGGCGTGTTTTCACTGGAGGAGAAGAGGCACTTGGCTTCTGCACCTGTGCTTGTACCTGCAAATGACACAGAGTCAGTGGCTGGGTGCTGACAGCTGAAGAAGCTAAATGAAAACATTTAAGCACCTTGAGGCCTCTGCGGAACAGGAACATGGCCTGGCGGGCCTCCCTCTGAGTCTGCTGGGCAGGAGGAGCAGCTCTGCATGAACAGAGGTGAAACAGTGCAGGTTTCACTTCAACTGCTCACCTCGTGGTATTTTTCAGCATGTGTAAGAGTCAAAGTGTTCTCACTGCCGTCGCAGCTGAAAGGGTCTCCTGGCCGATGTTCCGTTCTGGCCTCTGTGTGGGTCGGGCTGCCGGTACAGGCGTCTCTGCACCTCCTGTCTTCTGTACTGAAGCTCAGGGCGAGGATTGAAGGGCCTCGCTTTCTGTCTCTGTCTCTGCTGAAGGGTTGGAAAAACAATCATCTTAAYGCTGAGTCACACTACAAGATTTTAAACCAGTCGGCTGATTTTCAAAGACTGATAGAGCCACATGTGAGGAGAAAAAATCCTGGATCTACCAGGTTTGGTCCTACAGTGTGTGGTGTACAGCCACACAGCAAGAGACAACACACCACACACGAAATGATACTTCATTCATGATTCAGATGTCAGATATTAAATCACACGAAACTTCCTGAAATCTCGCGAGAATTCAGATGTCCGAGGAAAAATCTCACGTGACCTCCAGAGAGACGTGAGTTCAGAGTAAATAAAAATTTGTAACAAGGAAGAAACAATGTGGATCGTTTGTGGACTATTTTTACCAGAGGAAAAACATTTTCATAGGACTTTTAACATCCAGCAGACTTTCTGGTGAGTCATGACAGTTTTTTTTTTTGTCTTCTGTATTTTGGAATCCCCTCCGTGTTTACATCACCTCGCTTTCTGATTGGCTACACGTCTCATTCAACAGGCTGAGAGCTCAGGTGAACACTACACACACTGTGATATCAGACCAAAAAATCAAACATGTTGAATATCCCTGATTTGAGGTCAGAGCGGTCCCGATGTCCTTCTGAGCCGACTAGATCACTCTTAACTCACCACCCACGGCAGGAATATCTGCTCAGATTATCTTTAGAGCCATCATGATAATCTGGACTTCCTTAAGATTGTTGGAAGGGAAAAATCAGCCTGATTTTCTTGTAGTGTGACGCCGGCCTTAGAGGTGCAGCAGATTAAAACAGACAACATTGTTTATTTATCTGCCAGCGTTTATGTAGKAACATAAACAAGGAAATTAAAGCTTTTCCTTTTTAACATTAATCTCATCAGCTGATGCTCTGATCCGAGCAAACAGAAAAATGAAAGCATTAATCAGGGTTCACGCAGTTTTCAGTAAGTTAAATTTAAGACCTTTTAAGACCATTAATAATGACATTTAAGACCAAATCGATGCA